AAGCGTAGCGGTGGACGTCGGCGGCTAGCGGCTCGATCCATAATGAAAAGAGTCAAAGCGCTGTGTAAAAAATTATTGTACTAACCTGACGGAAAAAAAAGCTTTTCTCAATAATGTATGGTGAAAAGTGATGAAAACATAATTTTTTTCAGCAAAAAAATATATAATTAAAACATCACACTGGCAGAAATAGGTATATAAGTAGTTGATATAACGTTAGTCACCATTTTCCGGAAAAGTGGCAGGGACGGGGACCTCCTCTTCCTTGTCGTGAACCATTGATCTCAAAATATTCGCTATTTCATTATGAAACGGGTCGTTGATTCTTTTTCTCTTGACACCGGCAACTAAAAAAAAAAAAAAAATCACTAAAAAAGGACTTAGGTATGCGATGATAAAAAAAAAAAAAAAAAAAAAAAAAACGGGGTTAAAAAAAAATTTTTTTTTTATTATTACTTCCGTGATGTAGATAAATATTCATTTGGTATTCGTAAAAAAGAAATATGTATTTGATTTACCTGTTATGTTTGGTCGCCAACGATTTATATTCACCTTCTCCATCAATTTTCGTACTATCATCTGTAACATCATCTGTACAAGAGGTACAACCTTCATTTAATACTCGTATTCGCGTATTCTGATGGCAGAATATTCGAATCAGAAGTTTGGCAACAAGAATTTTCTTTTTTCATAGATACAAGCTGATACTTGTCAATATTTCTTCTCAAACTGCAATTGACATGGAAATTCATTAAATGTTGTTGAATATCTGAAATGAGTAGTTTAATTTTAAAAGTTGCTGCTGCCACACACATTTTTAAGCTTGGTGGAAATTTACTGTGGTAGCAATTTTTTTTCACAAGATTTCGTCCACTTTTGGTTTTTTCAATAGAATCATTGTCAAAATGCAAGCTGCACAAGTACGAAAACTTATTCTCTTTTATATCAAAGTGCTGTTTTATACTGTTCAACCAAAGTTTTTTACTTTTTCGTCAGACGGCAACCTAATAAGAATACTCACAAAACTTAATACATGCCTCGAATGTTCTCAATGTCATAATTATAAATATGTTTACTGCAATTACACGAAATATTTTATTAAATGTCGAACTCATATACATTTTAAATCTACGTTAAAAAAAAAAAAAAAAATACAAATCACCCGCTTGAAACATCCACGTGATGAGCCATCTATATATACAGCGGCTTTATCACGTGACCCATCTAAAATTATGACACTTAACCTCAAAATTTATTTTCATTTACACTTACTTGAAATAACTCAAACAGCGTCCTTCTTCATCATCGTCTTGTATCCGACAGTTCGATGTTATGCAATTTTTTCACATTTTCAACAATTAAGCTAAAATCTCGTAATTCATGTATAACAATAACATCAAGCATCACATTGTACACAAGTACACACGGTGATCTTAAAGACATGACACTTTTTCTGCTTATTGAAAGGCTTTTCAAGTAGATAAAATTATATAAAAAATCCTATAAGTATATAACTTCTGTATGAAAAATTAAACAAAAAAACAAATATCTGTTATGCGATGCAAAAAACTTCCACTTTTTTTCGTCTGCAGCTCATCTCTTCCGGCTCTCGCGCATCTTGCTCACACTATAGGACGAGGCGCGGGTTTTTTCAAAATAGTTTAATTTGCTCACAGATTACAGAAGATATTCTATTCAAGGCATCATGTTATTATGCAAAAGAATAGTGGCACAAATAGAGCCCAATTAAGTAATTTCATTTTTTTTTATTATTAGTTTTAAAAACCATTGAGTATTTGTTTTTAACACTGTCGCAATAGTCGATGATTCGCGCCTTAATGTTCGAAAATTGATTGGGAGGTACGTAATTAATTGTGTATTTTGTGGATCTTCAAGATTAAACTGATAAAAATTGCAACACATGAACTTGGTATTTCCTTTATTATCGGTACATTTAAAAAAAGTACAAAAAACTCGAGTTTCAAATGCTGAAAACGATCGCAGCAAGTGTCGTCGTTCGTTATGCCGGAAGGCCATGCACATAATATGTATATAAATAGCATGCGATAAAAAAAAAAAATGTAAATGGTAAAACGTATTGGGGTGACATCGTCACACCATACACATACTCGCGATATTTTATGACAGTAGGTATACAATATGATGTAGTGTAAGTATACGAGAATATTGAGAAAAATTGGCACTATGACGGAGGAATAAAGTCGTCATGATCATCATATAATTACGTTATATTATAATATCACCTGCGTAAATATACAAGAAATAGAAAGTAAAATAAATATAACATGTAAAAACGATTTTCACAGAAAATATCATACCGATGATAGCGTATAAGTTAAAGGCGTCGTATAAACGCGTTTATTATCTCAAAAAGGACAACTGGAGTCGCGTCTCGTCCTGCGGGGTCAAATTACCCATGTTGACGACCCCAGCGATCACCGTGCATATCTCGTTGACGTACGGCAAGATCCTCCACGTGATTTTGCTTTGTACTACCTTGAAGGTCCTGAATCGGCGTAAGGCGCGTTGAACGTGGAGTCGAGCGGTGCACACGTTCTTCGCGAGCTCCAACTCACTCGCGTCTATGATCCCGTCCTTGTCGAGCCTCGGCAGCTTTATCAAGCTTATGTTGCGCTCGGCGCACTCCACCTCGATGTCCAAGCTCCCATCGGTCATTATCGCCTCTCTGCCCGGGTCCAAGCACCCCAGTATGTTGGTCTGCGTGAATATCGAGCCGTTCGNAAGTCAAGCGTTTATTCGATTCATACTTCAATTAACAATTCAATTCAATTCTTAATAACCTTTTAATTCAGAATTTTTATATAACTGTTACATTTGTTATTAAAAAAAAATATTGTAAGTGCAAAAAATTAAAAAATTAGTATTTCAATGAGTGCAACAGGATACTTACGTATAATTGATAAAAAAAAAAAAAAAAAAATTTGAAGTGAGGTTTGAACCAAAAACGCCAAACAATTGGTGACGTGCGAGCTTTTAACTCTGACCACGCCACCGACTATGTGTAGAATACGAGAAAGTTCAATAAGCTTAAGTAGAACGTGTAGCCATATACTGCGTGTAGTGCCCGTTTCCGAAATTATCCCGTACGTTTTAGTGGGAAAGTACCCTGAACAGACTTGTTATTGAAATTAAACTTAACAGTAAGTTAATTATGGAATAATTTGCATGTTCCAGACTTCGATTTAAACACAGAAAATGCATGTTTCGAACACTTTCCTTCAAAAACATTATAGTGAGCTTTATTAAGGTATTAAAAACGTAATTAGTTGCACGTTTTCTGTCTTCAAAATCTATAAGTTATGTATGCTTAAAGCACAAATTACTTTGAACACTATGATTGTTTAAATTACTGTTTTTTTTTTTTTCTATCGTTTATTAGTATTCTTAATTGAACTTTTTGTCCGAAAACGAGTCAAGGAGTTTTAGTTCTACTCGTATTTTAATGCATTATATTAGTAACAAGTAATTTCTTTTCTTACAACACCAGCATAATATGTTCTTGTAGTAATCGGAAAATTACATTTTTAACAGTAACACTTAAGTCTTTGTTTTGTTATTTGTTTAAGAGACTAGTTGTAATTCTTGCTGTTTAGGGGTAGTAACAACAATCGCTTAACGATATCACCGGCGTCTCCTGGAGTTTTCGTAAAATTCGTTGTATAAATCGTTCCAAACTCGTTATCCGGGGTTTCTTTAGGGTTACTGAACACAAATATTGCGACAAAAATCGTCCCCAAGGTACCTGGTGCCCAGAGTGAAACGTATCACCGTCGTCTCCTGGAGTTCTCAGGAAATTTATCAGATAATTGGTCCAAACTCATTGTTCGGGGATTTTGGGATGACTGAACACACATATCACGACAGAATTCATCTTAAAGGTACCTGGTGCCAAGGGTGGAAGGTATTAACGTCGTCTCCTGGAATTTTCAAGAAATTCGTTTTATAATCGGTCCAGACTCATAGGGCGTTTTTGGGGTTACTGGATACAACTATGGCAACAAAAGTTGTCCCCGAGGTACCTGGTGCCAAGGGTGAACATTACATACCTCATCTCCTGGAGTTTTTGGAGAAATCTATTAACAATTCAAAACAATGTAGATTCTGATGGTGCAGTAGTAGACAAGTACCTACGAACCAACTGCAGTAGGCATTTGATGTATTGAGACAAGTTTCGCAGGTTTCGCTTATACGCGTACGTTGTGGTACTTCATATTAGCGATTCCACTGCTTATTGAGGGTGCCCTCAGAGTTCTTAGTACTGAAGGGAAGAGGGTTATATGTTTAAATATATTGTGTGGGCCGATCCTTGCGGTACTGCAATGCATGGCCGACCCGTGGCAGGACCGGAGCAAGCCCCAGACGTCCCGCCTATTTTCAAAAATCAGTTCGATATTCTGGTCCCCCAATGGGGGACGTATCAGATATCAAGCTGATAAGAACAGATACTACACTTTGATCTTAGCCAAAAGGCCGAGAAGCGATGCTGAACGAACGTTTTTTGTCGACTTTATAAAGCTAGTTCTTGCATAACACTTGCGAGCAGTGCAAAATCGCTGCAGGCGAAGCGTAGCGGTGGACGTCGGCGGCTAGCGGCTCGGTCCTCTCCCATTCTGGCGCCTATATTCAAATGAAATTAACACCTCAGTACTCACATTCAACACTGTTACTACATACTTTACTTTAAAATGAAAATTTATATCGACAAAACACGAACTTGACGAAAAAAAATTTTTTTTTGCATTTGTTCGGTCAATTATCAATAAGAATACACAACAACGTGGCATTATCATCTGTTGCAGTATATTCTTATTATTTACTTACTACGCCAAACAATGAACACTTTATTTAAAATAAGATTTATTAATAAAAAGTACAAATTTTTCGAAATGTTTACTAATGCGATAAGCATAAGTGATTTTTCTTACATTCATTTACTGAACGGTTTCATTGTATATTCTAATTGTTTAAAGTATAATCTAATTGTTTACTTAATTCAGCAAACAATGTAAACTTTATATGAGATTTAATGATGGTAAACAAATTTTTACTAATGCGATAAACTTATGACCACAAATGTTATTTCATACTCATACGCTGATCGGTTTTATTGTTCAAATATTTAAAGTGTATTATAAATGTTTACTTCTCACGTACAATATTCTAAACTTTATTCAATGTATAATTTAGTAAGAGTAAACACAAATTTTTACTAATGCGATGACCTTATGAACGATTTTATTGTATAATAAATGTTTGAAGTATATTCCAATTGTTTACTTAATACCTCAAACAATGTAACTTTTATTTTACATAAGTTTAATAATAATTAACACAAATGTATAACCTTATAACAATAAGTGTTTTTTTCATTCATACTCTAAACCGTTTTATTATATAATAATTTAAAGTTCCATATTCTAATTGTTTACTCAATACATCAAATAATGTAAACTTTATTTTATATAAGTTTTAATGATAATAAACACAAATTTGTAACCTTACAACAATAGGTGTTTTTTTGCATTCATACGCTTAAACGTTATAATATATAATTATTTAATGTTCCATATTCTAATTGTTTACTCAATACAACAAATAATGTAAACTATAGTCAATACAAGATTTAGTATTAATAAACAAAAATTTCTATTGTGATGCATAGACCGTATGACCGTAAGTGTTTTTTTACATCAATACGTTGAGCGTTTTTGTCGTATAAACATGCACTAATATCCCTTAATTTGTTAACGTTGCAGTAATAAAGTTCCCTAATAATTTTCTATTACATCTAGTTATTATTTATATTTAATTATATTACTTTTAACACAATGCCATGATCAAGAATTTTGGTTATTAATTTTTAAAAGAGATTTACGTTTTGAAATTTATAAATGAAACAATTAATACTTCGGAATTCCGAAAGGAGATGATACATTAGTCTGTTTATTTGACGATATGGCTTTCGTGATACTCTTTATATTTACATTAAAGCATACCTTCACTAGTCATGGTTTGTAGAAATAGAATCAGGTAGTAATGAGAAATATCGCATTAAAAAGACTTTTGCTATTTTATATGAATTAATTATTACTGAACAAATTATGAAGAAATGAGTAATTTGCATATGGTTACACTTTTTTTTTGTGATAATAGTATACATAAGGTTGTTCTGACGAGTAGTGATCAATAAACCTGTTTTCTCATATTTCACCTGGAGTAGAAAACAAGTTGTATGTATGTTTATGTTACTAGCATGGTAATATCATTTTTTTTTTAATTTAAGATGATAACGATGAGCTACATACAAAGTATTTATTATAATCTATATGAAACCCAAAACATAGAGAAAATCGGATAGGCTACCAGTTCTATAGGCGATAAAAATATTGTGAAAAAAGTTTGTTTACTTAATGTTATTATTTATTTATTTTTTTTTATTTTTCAAAAATACTTATACCCATACGCTTATAATACGTGTATTATCGAAATGCGAACCTATTGCCGATCTCGATTGCCACATCCTACCGTTTGTCGATGAGTAAGTATTGATTACGTACTGGCAATCGGTAAGGGGCTATAGCGAATACTTGTTAGTAAAAACTTCAAAGTTAACTATTTAGATGACGCGGGTGCAAAACAGAAAGAGAGAGAAATAAAGAGTAGGAAGATTGGTAAGAAAAAAAAAGTGCAGCAACAACAACAACAATCGGCTACAGCCTGGATTACACATTAAATCTCGCACGGTGAATACAAAACAACGCAAACATATTATCGCTGCGTCACGAAAATCGTTATTGAAACGTGAAAAAAAAAAAAAATTAAAAAAAAGTAACAACAAAAGTCAGAAATAAAGAAGGCAAAAATCACAAAAGAAGTGCGGGCGAGGGTAGTTAAATGTCATCGTTAATGCCATCTGCAGATTGGCGCGTGATAAATTTGATGTAACATCGCGACCCTGACGCTCTTTTACCACCCAACTGCTGCTTGTTATGTACACAGCTCGCGTGTGCGCGAATTTGTTCATGCATATGTGTATTTATCTACGTAATACGTGCACGCTCAACATCCGTTCGCGAAAAAATATACAGGAGCTCATGAGGTGTGCAGTTTTTTTTTTTTTTTTTTTTTTTTTTTTTCATCATTTAAAAACCAGCGTTTTTATGTGCTGTCTACTCCGTGCGTGCAGGGAGTTGCGTGATTTTACAAGTCCCCTGGGTCTCTGAGAGTTTTCTCTCCGAGAGGGATAATAACATAAGTCCGGTGGTGTTGTGGTGGTGGTGGTGCAGCAGCGCATGTAACCATGAAGTGTTCAGGACTGGGAGGGCTTGGCTAGTCCTCAAAAGATTCGTGGACCTGGAGATGCTCTGCACTTGGGAGATAGAAATTGCGACGATGAACGAGTGAGTGCTCCTTTTTCCTTTGTACATTTTTAAAATACTCTCTTTCATCTCGTTTTTGGGCTAAACATTTTTATAAAAGATTTTTTTTTTCACACTCACGAGTTACTTTTGAAACACTTTGCATCGACTTCACTTATTTTATCGTACATAGTTTTGGCGAATAGTGTTACTTATGGCGTTCATTTATTTATTTAAAGTAGTTAATTATTGAAATCATCAGAATCCGTCATAAATCGTAAAATGTCACTATATTCCCATCGACATAATATTATTAATTGTAGTATAAATTACACTATGTGACGCAAATAATTTTTTTAATATCAACACGCAATATGTGTGTTATCGAAAAAAAAAAAATTTATATATATAGACTCNTTTTCGGAACTTTATCTGGGGGAAGGAGCTCAGGGTTTTCGAGGTGGCTGATAAAAGGGGACTTTGCCTGGCTTTGGGATTTTCGATGAATTATCTGTTTAGAATTTAGATTGGAGTTTTTCTGGGGGTTTCATGCGGTCTATTTTGATGATGGTCTTGTATATGTTCTTATTTTTTTGCCAATCTTACGAAATTCCAGTAATGAATGCAATACAGCTATAGTTTGAAAGGTGCAGGAGGTGTAATTAATTTTGTATAATTTAAAAAAAAAAAATTCCATTTTTAAGGAAATAAAAGTATGCACATGCATATGAAGAGACTCTCCAGAAATTGAAAGATAATATGAAAGTTTACAATATGATTAAAGTATAGCTACAAAAAAAGTGAGAAATAGAATAGCAAAAAATTTGCAGGCCATACATCACACCCATAAAGTATATTACTGTTTATTTTCATCTCTTTTTTGTCTCTCAACCTCAGCATTCCTGTAAAAGCGTCTAATCCCAATGAATGGTTTTTTTGCACTGTCGTGACCTACGTTTGTTCCTCTCCAACGTTCTGCTGCGTAAGCAAAATAACAAGGGCAAAGACATACTCAGCCGAATAGGAGAGAGGACACACTTGGGAGAAATGTAAGATCGAATGGAAGTTGGTGTTGTAGGGATACGGCAGATAGGCAGCAGTAATAAGTTAAAGAAAACGGGAAAATACATTAAGACGGTCGAATGTGTAGACCTTTTAGAAATATACTCTGCAAGGCATCGAGATCTTATCATACATGGAATGAAGAGGGTTAACATTAATTTTAAGGAACCCTAATAATCATAAAACTCTGATAAAAGCACCACTTAAAATAGTTTACTGTGAAAAAACAAATGAAATTGACGAGTATTGATTTTATCATTTTTTTTCAACATAAAAATACGGATGATATTGTTCAATTGGGTATTATTATTATTATTTTTTTTTTTAAATCCAATGTTGTGCATAGTATCTCAATTTTTCGTCACACAACATTTGTAATTTCAATTCTTGAATCAGTTAACAGTCTAAACAAAAAATTTTCTTCTGAATTTCATCAATTGTAACGTGTTACCCGTTGCTAGTCCTTTGTTCGGATAAATATGAAAATGTATCGGTATCTAATGAGTCGAAATATGTGTACGTCTTATTTACGTTATTTTTTTTTTTTCATTCAAGCACCGTTAGCGAGTAATATTTATCAAACAACTTGTATCAATGAAATCTGAATGAATTTACACTTTGGTAATATTTTAGCCAACAACAGCCGTCAATTTATAACTTTGAATTTTCGGACTATGGGCACGGAATGCAGTTACGACTACATATTCGTTTACGACGGGGATTCCTTCAGATCCACACTTTTGGGAAGCTTCAGCGGCAAAACGGAGCCACAACTGGTAACAGCCTCGTCCGGACACGTTAGTATTGTTTTATTTATTATTTTTTTTTTTTTCAATTGCCTCTCTTTGTAGATTAATGATATTGCTTGTGGCACCCATTAACCGAATCAACAAACCATCGTTCTCGCAGATGCTGATTCTCCTGTACAGTGACACGAATTACGTTCTGGATGGTTTTCACGCAGAATTTTCCGTTAGCGATTGTCCAAACAACTGCACGGGACGCGGAAAGTGCATAAACAACACGTGCTTTTGCGAAAACGACTGGGGAGGCAAGGACTGTTCCAGAACACTGTGCCCGAACAATTGTGGGATCGGAGGTGTCTGCGGATTGAAACACTGCCAGTGCCACAGCGGGTACTCCGGGCAGTCATGCTCACTCCACAAAACCCGCCCGGAAGGAAACAAGTTAGTCTTTCATGTTTTGCAACAAATGTTGCATACAAAGTGCGGGTATAATAATGTGTCATTGTTGCAGGTGGCATTGGCTGTCGCACTCCGAGGGGGGCATGACTCCCAGGGCTGCCCACACTGTCGTTTACGTCAGCGAGACCGACTCGCTGTACGTTTTCGGAGGCTACAATCTCAACTACGTGTTAAGCGAACTGGAGACTTACCGTTTCTCGACGAGTCAATGGGAAGACGAGTACGGCAACGTGTTGGGTACTATAGAACCGCTAAAAAAGTCCAAGCTTGTCTCGACGAACAGGACACCTGAGAGAAAAAATGTGTACAATTTTGACGCAGAAGCCGTATCGTCGGTCGAATACGTGGACCCGATGCTGATAGCCAGCGAATTGGAGAACATGGGAGTGGGCGCCAACAAACAGGACGAGCTGCCGGCCTCGATATTTTGGAAGTCGCTGATAGGCTTCAAGGAGAACAACACGTCGTCGTTGCGGGAGAGGGGAAACATTGAGGGCACCCGCCACGTGCTGCGAGAGCCAAAAATCTCGGAGCACCGAGAGCGAGCCAGGAAAAACCAGCACGTTACCGCGTCCAACGACACCAGCGACGGCGAAGACAAAAAGAAGCACACCAGGAGAATCCGACCCGCGAACGCTCGGTACGAGCTCGATGTAATTTACGATTGCTGGAGAGGTAATAATACCCCGTTGTGGTTTTTAGGCACCGTAGGAGCCCCTTGGATGCTTCTCCTTTCAAGGGAGTCGCCGGCATGGACGGTCCCCCCTGGGAAGAGAGCGTCGTGGAGGCTCGAGTCGACGACAACCCGTTTCTCCAGGACATCTTGGAGCCGGTGACCACTCAGCTGCCAACCAACGACGAAGCATCGAGCACAAAAGACACGCCCAAGCCCGCTCCTCGGTACGGACACGCGGCGTGCAAATACGAAGGTAGGGAAGGAAGTTTTTTTTTTTTTTTTTTTTTTTTTTTTCCCTCACATCCACCACGTGCAAAGCAGAGCAACCACCTCCATTATGGATGACGGTGATTAATTTTCTTCAGGAGGCTTTGTCATTTACGGGGGCAAACTGGAGGACGGATCTCTCTCGGACGAACTCTGGTACTACGACGTGAGGAGGAGTTTGTGGAGCTTGCGGTCCAGGAACGCGCCGTTTTACCCGCCCAAATTGACTCGGCACACGCTCACGTTGGCTGAGGATGGCCACGTTTACTTGTTCGGGGGTAGTACAGCGGACGGCGAGTTCTCCTCGGGCCTGTACAGGATAAAATTGAGCCTCGGTGAGTACACGATCGATTTGCCGATCGGGCAAAGGATCGAGAGTCAGTAACGCGTGGTGTTTGAACAGCGGATCAAACGGCGAGGGCGGAACAGTGGCAGGAAGTGCGACCGAGGGGCGGCAAGGAGCTCGACGTGCGAGTCGTGGCCCACTGCGCGGTTTACCACCGAGCCACGAACTCGCTGCTCGTCTACGGAGGCGTGGTCGCCAGCGTGGCCCGTTTCAGCAAATTGTCCGACCGGATCTTTGTCTTTCAGCTGGACAGGAGGGTGTGGTCGGAGATTCATTATCCGCGCGCTGATCTGCGCGATACCTACGTGCCGCGCGAGCGAGCGTTTCACACGTGCAACGTCATCGGTGAGTATGTTGCGCAACGAGGCGCGCGGCTCGAGACAAATTGCTATTTTTTTCTTTCTTTAATTTTTCAACGTGAGGCTAACGATGAGAATCGAATGCTTTCAGGAAATTATTTAGTGGTGTTCGGAGGTTACTCCCACAGGCACAACAAGGAGGAGATTTGTTACGACAATCAGATGTACCTGTATCACCTTGGTTGTCACGCTTGGGTGAGCCATGACGTTTTGAACACCAGTGACAAAGGTATCGCTGTTTTATTTTCAATCCAATTACAAAATGAAACATAAAACAAAAAAACTATGTTTTTCTCACTAGACTCGCAGTATCCGAAACAACAAGGTGTATTCGCCCACGCTTCCGACGTGAGGTACGGCAGCACGTTGTTACTCGTAGGTGGTTATCACGGGAACGTCAACGCGGATCTATTGGCTTATACCCTGCCGTCGACGCTTGCCCCTGCCGAGGGGGATCCCCTGGAGCCCGAACAATACTGTTCCAGACACAAGAGCCTCCTCGAGTGCTCCGCCAACCCGGAATGCGGCTGGTGTTCGGCTGACGAGGTACTCCTTTGCAAAACGATGACTCGTCGTTCAGTGTATGAATTTCGCCCTGTTTTTTTAGAACTGTTACGGTAGGACGGTGGTGATCAACTGCACGACCAATCTCCAGACGACCCGTTGTCCCGGAGTTTGTCCAGCCTTGGAGGATTGCCACTCGTGTCTGATACACGGTCAACCGGGGGGTGGTTGGGGCACCAACGCTCGCGGTCGCAGCTCTGCATCCAACAAGTTCAACCTGGGCACGTGCACCTGGTGCGTGCAGAACGCCCTCTGCCATCATAGGGACGACAACTACGGGGTGTGCGGGCTGCGGGACGACACGCTCAGCCAGATACCCGGCTGGTGGGGCATGAAGGGCACGGAAATCGCGCGGGTCGAGGAGTGCCGGGAAATGGACAAGCGGCCGGGCTTGACGTTCCTCAAGTACAAGCCACCGGTGAACTTCAGCCAGCCGGATTCCGTGATGATCGTCAACGCGACTACGGTGGATTTTAGCGTGCCGTCGATGCAGGGTGCCAAAACCGAGTCCGGACTTGGCGGTGAGATGATCGCCAGGCTCATTGGGTTCCTGAGACTGCCACATATGATATGGGACGGAAAACTCGAATCCATGAAGATCTGCGTCAGCTACAACAGTGCCACTTTGCGGGTCTCCCAAAACAACGATACCCAGGATCTGGTGGGTGTTTATCTTATCTTTGGTACAATATCGGTTGTCAAGGATCGGTGATATGATAAAATTCGTACACTTGTGATTTAATAGATGGTCGTGGCCAATTTGACCGCGGAAACGTCCCAGTGTATACCAATGCGGGCGTCGAGCGAGGCATTCAACGCCATCTCCTTCTCGCCAGGCCGCTACCTTTTGGACTTTGAATCCAAGAGAATGGTGACCACTAGCCAATCGCAGAGCAGCAAGATGGAGATCATCCACAACCGGATGGACGAGAATCCGAAGGTTTTCACCTTCGAGTACCTCGAGCCGTACCAGAACGGCTCGTGCGGCCAATACAAAAATTGCATGCACTGTCTGGTGGACTCGGCTTGCGGCTGGTGCAACGTCAACAACGAGTGCCTGCCCCGCTCGGTCGATGAATCCGAGAGCTGTGTCGTCGACACGCTGGACGAGAACAATCATCCCACCCGAGAGTGGCACTACCTCACCATCAATCCCTCGATGTGCGCCAATTGTTCCAACTACATATCTTGCGAGTCTTGCGTCGGGACGACTATTTGCGAATGGTGAGTCGACAATGGTACCAAATCACACGTGTCTCATGTATAATATACTCTCAACTGGCTCACAGGTGGACGGAGGACGCGCGGTGCACCCGTATAGGTCGACTGCCGAACGCTGTGGTGAGCCTGGACCAGTGTCCCGTACCGTGTACACGGCGCTCAAATTGTACCCAATGCCTGGACGAGCGCGGCCGGTGCGTGTGGTGCGAGGCGACCAAAGAGTGCTTCTCCTTCTCCGTGTACACGTCCGAATACCAGTTTGGCCTCTGTCGCGAATGGACCGACCAAGCTGGCCTGATGGGCATCACCTCCAGAAGCAGCAGCAGCAGTTTGGCGCTCAGCGGCAACGACCAGTGCAAAAGCTGTAGCCGGCACACCAATTGCTCCAACTGCCTGCACTCGTTGAGCTGCGGCTGGTGCTACAGCCTCGAGAATCCCATTCTCGGTGTCTGCGTGCAGGGTGACTTCAACCGGGCGCACGTCAATTGCAGCCAGGTCATACGCGACCGTCAACTGCAAAACGACACCACGATCGCGGTAATCCCGGGGGTCGAGCTGACGGCCGGTTGGGCGTACGCCCAGTGCCCGGACGTGGACGAGTGCGATCTTGGGTTGCACGACTGCCACCAGAACGCCGTGTGCACAAACACCCACGGGAGCTACAGTTGCCAGTGCAAGCGGGGTTTCAACGGCGACGGCAGGGAGAACTGCACCAAGACGTGTTACGAAAAGTGCGTCAACGGTTACTGCAGCGAGGCACCCGACTACAAGTGCGAGTGCCACCTAGGCTGGACCGGGCCCGATTGTCGCACCAATTGCGGGTGTCACAACCACTCGACCTGCGTTCACGGCCCCGGAGTGTGCGACAAGTGCCAAAACTGGACGGAGGGTAGGTACTGCGACGCGTGCCAAGTGGGCAGTTACGGCAACGCGACCACCGGTCTCGGTTGTCGGGTGTGCGATTGCAACCAGCACAGCGATTTGGGGATCTGCGACGGCCAGACCGGCATCTGTTTCTGCAAGGACAACACCGAGGGCGACCACTGCGAGATTTGTAAGAAGGGCTATTACGGGGACCCGAGGAACGGAGGTATGTGCTACTACGGGTGCATGTCGAGGGGAATGCTCGAGGGAGAGGGCAGCGACAAGCAGGGCCTGGGTAGCCGGCACTCGCAGCTCAGTCTGTGGGAGAGTCATCTCGGTGGCTCGCTGACCAGAGAGTGCCTTTGGATTGTCAGTCCCGAAAAAGGTATTTTTTTTTTTTTTTTTTTTCTTTCCTTTTTTTTTGTTGGTAAAAAAAAATTGGATTCGAAAATTTTATTCTTGCAGGTCTCTCGTCCGACACGATGACCCCGAGTATCCAGAGCGTGATCCAGTTCACCATACACGACGACATAAACGTCAGCTGCCAAGAGAACAGTGTCTACGTGTACGACGGGTTGCCGGCTTTCGTGTCGACCACGACGAGCCATCAGAGCCAATTGCTCGGGGTGTATTGCACCGAGAGTACCGATTACCCCGTGACCGTAGAGGCCAAATCTGGCTTTTTGACCGTACACTACAAACAATTGGACGAAGTCGAGGGCTTCAACGCCAGCTACGTCGTCATGACGTGCAACAATTGCCCGTCTAACCGGGAGTGCCGCAACGGCAATTGTCTCTGCAAGGCCGGCTTCGTTGGCATCAATTGTGACATCGAGCTGTGCCCGAAAAATTGCTCCTCCAACAAGAAGCAAGGGGTATGCGACAAGGCTTACGGGCACTGCGTTTGCACGCCGGGCTTTGGAGGACGCGATTGCTCGATTTTCATCAAGGTAAGTAATACCTACTTCTCCAAATTCTCTTTCAATAACATTGACGAGGAGAGAACAATAATCGTTCCACCGTGATTTTGTAGGACAACCAGCTGGTATTCACGGAGTTGTTCAACAGCGAGTACCTTGCCGATCAACTGGACCATTTGCGCAAAACCCTACCGCGTTTCGGTCACAGCCTAGTGGCGGATCGTCGCGGCAGTTTGTGGATGTTTGGCGGCTACTCGCTCAGCCACGGGCCTCTCAACGACATCCGGCTGTTCGACACGAAAAACAGCACGTGGATGCCCGTCACCGTTGAATCGACGTCGGAGGCTTCGATGCCCCAGGGCCGTTACTTCCACGCCGCGGAGATCGTGCACAGCCGCCAACAGATCTACGTGTACGGTGGTCTGTCCATGAAAGAGGAGGGCATCCAGGGCCTGTCGAACAACACGCTCAACGACTTTTGGAAGTTTAGCCTGCAACAGCAGCGTTGGAGTCAAATAGTCGACAGGTCGGCCGCCCAGAAGGAGCCACCACCCCTGGCTGGACACACCCTCACGCTGTACCGGGATCACGGCGAGTCCGAGAGTTTGGTGCTCATTGGCGGATTCAGCCCTAGGTACGGCTACTTGGACACTGTGTGGGAGTTCAACCTCGAGAGGAAAACTTGGGATACGGTAACCACCAATGGAAACGGACCTCTGGGCGTTTACGGGCATTCCACCGTTTTTCACGACAAATCAAACAGCTTTTACGTGTTTGGAGGCTACACGTATGCCATCAACCGAACTTTCATATCGAACAAGCTTTACGCGCTGAATTACAAGACAAAGACGTGGTCCGTGTTGCCACCGTTCGAAGACGACACGTCTGATGGGACGGTAAGCATATACATACGTATTATTGTTGGATAGAGGATAAAAAAAAAAAGTAGGTACAAAGTTGTATTTTCCAAATTTGTAGCCACAAGCGCGTTTCCTTCACTCCGCCGTAACGACGGACGATTACATGGTGATATTCGGAGGCCGGCAAAACCCTCACAACACCACGGACTCGCTGATAGCGCACCAGTACTCGTGCAACTTGTGGATCCGGCTGATAACCAAGGACATGGAGATAATAGGCAACCCACCGCCACCGGCTTACGCCCACGCTATGACACACGCCGATCCCGAGAGCAACGCCATTTACGTGGTCGGGGGTTTCGACGGGGGAATCAAAAGCCACGTCACCCTCATCCACGTTCCCGAAGACTTGTGCAACTTGTGGACGGACAAGATCACCTGTCGCAAATATTACGGCTGCTCCTTTTGCTCGGTCACCACCGTCACCGGGGCAAATGCCTCGTACTGTTTCTCAAACGAGGAGTCGTTGCACCGGGACGACAAGTGCGACGTGAACGTTACCAAGGCCCATCGTTCCAACGGCATATTCTGTAACTCCGAGTGGATGTCCAACCGCAAGTGCGAAAACTTCAAAACTTGCACGGATTGTTTGGCCGAGTGGCCGTACTACCGGGAGAAGGAGCCGGTTTGCAAATGGTGCGTCGATTGCCACGGCAAGTGCATACCCGCGGACAAGGATTGCGACGAGCAAAACAAGTGCAAGCATTGGCAAAAATCCGTCAACGACGTCAACCAGTGCGGCGAAAGGCTGTGTCCAGCCAGTGACTGCGAGAAATGCAAAAACTGCCAAGGAAACTGCGTATGGACCAGACAAGTCTTGAAGACGTGTAAGACTATATCTTCCAAACAATTTTTCCACCACTTATCCTTGTGATTCGTCATTTCCGATGAATGTTCCCTTAATTTTAGCCGAACTCGGACTGAAGTTGACGGCCGAACCGGTGTACGATTGGAACTGCGTGCCGGAGGACATATTCAACAGGTCCAGCATCAAGATGACAAGCACGCAGTGCGAAAAAAGATGCTCCGAGCATCAAGATTGCAAGAGCTGTTTGAGGAGCACGGGTGCCGAGGGTGGCTGGAGGGAGTGCCGTTGGTCAACGAGACTGAACGAAGTATGCGACGACACTTTATACAGTTTGTATGTCCTAACAATGAGTCCCAAGTAAGCGCTGTAACGATGAAACTTCTCGCAGTGTATATCCCCGTCGTATCAGCCGCTTTACTGTGCCGGTGGAGTCTGCGGCTTGGTTTTGCGCAACACGGACATCGAGTATTGTCCCGAGCCTTGCTCGACCTTTAAGCAATGCAGCACCTGTTTGAAGCACTCCCATTGCGGCTGGTGCTCCCTGGACTCGACCAGCGTGACCGGACAAGGTACATGCACCGAGGGATCTCTGGAAGCCCCGCCAGGTTTCGACCACCCAGCCGACGGTACCTGCGAAATGCTCTTCTACCAGCAGTATCCGACGACCAATCTCTGTAAGCCACTCCACGATCACTGAATACTTTGTCGTTGGTTCTTTTTTTTTTTTTTTTTTTTTTTTTTTTTTTTTTTTTTTTTTTTTTTTTTTTTTTTTTGTAATACTTAACGTGAAAAATAATATTGCGCAAGCTCTTACGTCAGAGGAGTCGAAGCATCACGTGAGCGACGGTTTAGTCGATTCGTCGAGGTTGCCCTTGAAATTCTCGTGGCATTACGTTCGCTGTCCCCCGGAGAACGAGTGTGAAAACAGTCACCACACGTGCTCGCCGAAGAGCGAAAAATGCTTCGATCTGGACGAAGGTTTCGAGTGCATGTGTGGCGAAGGATACAAAACTGAATTGTAAGTACTTCATCGAAACACCCACATTTGATGAATCACTGATTCTGTACATAATACAAAAGGATGTTGTGTTTTCAGGACGCACTCTTACAACGAATACGGGAGGTGGGCACGACATCTATATATACTTACTTCGGGGGGGTGGGGGGATGATTGAAATCGATGAGGAAAAAAAAAATGTCCTTTTTTTCAGAAAAACGTGCGTACCAATGTGTACTCAGGGTTGCGTTCGAGGTACCTGCGTCGAACCGGACGTCTGTCGCTGTGATTTTGGCTACGTCGGTCGCAACTGCTCGATCCAGTGCCAGTGTAACGGGCACAGCAACTGCGCGGGTCCGGATAAGCTCGACGAATGCCTCGAGTGTCACAACAACACCATGGGATCGCAGTGCGAAAAGTGCAAGCCACTGTACGTCGGTAATCCAGCTGATAACGGGCAATGCGTACCTTGTCTGGAGTACTGCAACGGCCACACTCGCATTTGTATCAACGAAAGCATGACTGTACCCGTAAGTAAACCAACAAATTATCTCATGTACCTCGTTTATTTTTTTATGAAAATTAAATCTTTCAGGATCCCAATTCCATTGACAAAATGTCGATCGAACGGTTGACCAAACAATTGGTCGAGGGTCCTGTCGCAAAAGCCAAGTGCGTGAATTGTGCCAATAATACAAGGGGCGATAAATGCGGCGAGTGCGTTACAGGATACTTCAGAGGAACGGAAGATTTGCGCGACGTGTGCAGACCGTGAGTCATTAATGATCCAAATTCGACATTGAACAAGACATTAATCTGATGTATTATAAAACTCATGGTCAAACGTTACAGGTGCGAATGCCACGGTCACGGCTTGACTTGTGACCCAGTGACGGGTGAGCAGTGCGATTGTCGCAACAACACGGAAAGCGAGACGTCCTGCGTTAGCGGGCCTTCTAAGGGTGGTAACTCGGGATTGACTCCTTGTTGGATGGTCCAGTGCAGCAAGTGCCGGGAAAATTATTCCGGCAAGCCGGTGATGGGCCATCAGTGCTACAAAACTGTCACCGTGGACAACAAAATGTGCTTCGACTACAAGCTCATAGGTATGCCGATGTTTAAGACATTGGACCATACAATCGCAGACTCGTTCACTATCAGTCATTTCGATTACAACGATTCTAAACGTTTTTATGAAAAAAAAAAAAAAAAAAAAAAAAAAAAAAATCCGTATTGACATAGAACTCAATACCGCGTCCTTTTCTCTCACGCTCTCATACTCATATCGTATCATACACTGCAATTCGCTTGTAAGTGGATATAAATATGAGATTCTTACTTGATTGTTTTTGTCGCGTGCCCAATTCTTTGGAGGACCCTACGGTTTGTATTCCTTGGCTAACTTATAGGTGTTCATCAAATATTGTTTGTACCTTCCATCGATTTGTTTCCCTGATTTAGACGAATGCAAGGTCAAGCCGAGACCACTGAACCCCGGACAGACGGTATTCTACATGGTACAGCCGCGCTTCATGAACGTGGACATCAGGATATTGGTCGACGTCACTCAGGGTGCCCTTGACCTCTTTCTGAGTCCGAGAGACGACACCTTTGTCGTGAACGTCAACTCGTCCACCGGTTTTCAAGAGGTAACTGCAATATTTGCCAAATCCTCGTCGTATATGTATATTTATGGACTCATTCAAAGAATAATGATACTCTTAAGATCGAGTTGGACGAGAAGATAAAGTGGCGCAAGGACTACGAGAAAGTCTGGCCGGACGACATCGGTGGCGGTAGTTACCGTGGCCGCGACCGCAAGGTCGACTACTACCCGTACAGTTCCTATCATTTCTCGGCCAACGGGAGCGAATCCCAGTGGAACCCGAGCATCGAGTACACGGTGATGGAACGCCGTGCCGAGGGTCTGGCGACCTATGTCACTATAAACGAGCGCTTCACCTTCCTGTTTGTGCGCAACCTAACGAACCGGCTGGTGCTCACTTTGCCCCAGGACAAGCACGAGCTCGGGCAAACCAAGTTCCACATAGCCCTGAGGGCAGTCGAGCCGCCGGCCGGCGAGTTCACCCGCGCCGCCTACGGCATGATATTCTTCCGGCAGGACCAGCTGCACATCGACCTCTTTGTCTTCTTTTCGGTGTTTTTCTCGTGCTTTTTCCTATTTCTCGCTGCCTGCGTCGTCGCCTGGAAGACCAAACAAGCAGCCGACGTCAGAAGAGCCAGGCGACGCCACGTTGTCGAGATGCTCCACATGGCCAAGCGGCCTTTCGCCTCTGCGACTATTCTCTACGACCGCGAGGTAAATATTCATACGAGAGCTGTAAAACACGCTCACGGGAAGGATTTATTACTTGCCTCAAGGCGAATCACTCATTCAAGAGTAGTTTTCAAAACTACAAATGAATCGGTTAAGAAATCCTTGGACAATCCTTTCCATCGGCGTAGTACTTGATGATCCGTTGCAATAAATATTGTAAAAATTAAAAAATACGTGTCTCGATTTTGCAGAGCAACTTGTCGAGCCAGTGCAGTCCGAGTTCGCCGCAGCGAAAGGGCAAGCGCAACAAGATCGTCAATTTCCACAGCGACGTGAGACCGGTGGCCGTCGAGCCGACCGACGACGGAGCAGCGGCCGTTGTCACGGTATTCATAAAGCTACCCGGTGGCGTTCAAGCGCCCGTCAAACTCGCCCTCGGCAGTTCGCTCATCTTCCTCACGCGAGTCTATCCGGCCAACAGCCGCGTGTTCCTCAGGCGACGCAACAGCCACGCTCTGAGCTAAACTGCTTTCATCTTTTTTGGCTCTGCGATCGGTTGTACGTGTTGCGGGTGATCGGTATCGGTGCTAATATTGGACTTGAATCTTATGGGTAAACAGACGCCGAGACGTGTCGATTTGAGTGATTTTTTATTTTAATGCGAATCTTTTTTTTTAAATTATTTTCAAGTGGCGTAGTAAAACGGCGTAATGTACACGTGTGGGGTTCTCCGTTTTCGAGGATGTCGAGTCGAACATACATATACCTCGTTTTTACACGCACACTCGTATACACATGTTATCATCGTAACGTGTGAAATAACAATGGTTGTATCTTTTGATAAGAAATTTAATGCATTTGTAATTAATGAGTGAGTTCGCAAAATCAGAAACGATCATTGATGAAGTATACGTATTGGTGATAATTTTATATCGATTGAGCAACAACTACGCGAAGAATGTTTTTTTTCTCTTTCAAGCGTAGAAAGATGCAATGACTGCGGTGTAAATAAAATCGAAAGAAACGTAACGTAGCTTTTGTATTAGGGTAAGTACATGAGTGTATTACCTGAAGAATATGTCGGACGGTGAAAGCGAGTGTAACGTGAAATTTGACAAACACCCCGTGATCGTCTTACACACCATTCCATGACACAAGACTGTCCGAAGCTATACGTGACGGATGAACGAAAATGAAAGCTGTATACGATCCCCTTGCGTTTACCGATACACTTGTGCAATAATGAAGAAAAAAAAGAAAAAAAAAAAAATCGTTCATCTTTTAATCGTGTAGTTACCGCATGGATATTTCCATATGTATTTCACGTGTTGCACCATCACAGACTCGGTTACTCTCTCCACTACCCGTATGGGTGTTCATCGACTGTCACTTATACGTCGCGCACATTAATTTTAGACTTGATACCACATGGAGAAAAAAATACGAGTTCGTATGAATACAGTATGCGAGAGAAAAAAAAAAAAGGTTCGCGTCGAGCACACGCGACACCTAATTGTAATATTCTTCAAGCCAACAGTATTAGAAAAGTATTCTCGTTTATGCATCGCGCGGAAAAGCCGCTCTGATGGTTTTTACATTTAATGCGTGCACCGGTTTATCAAACGAGACAATATTTACTCGCGTGTACGAGGGCAAGCTGCAATTCATCGACGATAAGAAGCGCCCGACAATTATGTGCAATAAAATTCAGTCAATAAACTAGAAGAGGCAAAAAATGTTTAAAATATACATTAGTACGTAGGTGTACCTAGTGTTGTTTCTTTTTGTACAATTGAGCTTTTCTTCACTAGTTAAAAGTCGCACGACAACTCACACGATTTATTGCTACTCTCACACTCTCGTTTCACCCAAGCGCGCGATTTTATATTCCGTCAGTCAACGATGCACGAATGAGAGTACTCGATTGTGATGCTTAACAATCACAAATTCACTATAAAAAAAAATGAAAAAACAATAATTGTAATAATTATAAAAATAATATTAGTAATAACAGTGTAGTATCGATTGATGATAAAATTGAGAAACCACGTGGATGGTTCCTATGGATAAAATTTTCGTTGTGGGAGGAAAAGCGCCACATTTGTCAGTTTTATGATCACTGAAACCTCGCTATTCTAATCTCAAAATTTAAGTAGATGTAGTTCGTTATGGAAACGATATTCTTAATTTACTAATTATAGAAGGGAAAAAACATTTTTTAAAAGTCCCTCTGTTTGATTCGAAGTGTTCTATTTGTTGATTAGTAATCGTCGGCTAACTATTTAGTATCGACTAAGTGATTACATGAATAAAGGAGGAAACAATAGCGTTAATTCTTACAGTCTAATATAGCTCCGAGAATTTATAATACTTTATTAGGTATTTTTAGCGCGATTTGTTGAAGTTTCTCGTACTTTAGCGACGAAACAAAATGTGTTCAGATTAAAATTAAGGATGGTTGGCGTTTTGTGTTAACTAACAAGGATTTGAGGATGATTTTTCAATGTTTCTTTCAACCAGTAGTTAGATTTCATATTATTTTTTTTATACATAAATGTAGTTACGTGTAATTGTTGCGTACACGTGTAAAATGTATATATTATTAATTAAGATTATACTTGACAAAGTATCTTTGTTTCAGAAAATTATAAGAGCAATATAATATCGTATACTTTATGTAATACAAGACGTCCATTGTTGTGTTATGTACTATTGAGCGATTGTTATTCTTAATTACTTCATACAAATTCGGTCTCGATTCCCGTAAAAAATCGCGTAAGATTAAATTAAATCCAAATCAATGTTTTCAACGACGAATGAGAGCTGGTAAAGCATTGAAAAATTCGGTTTGTAACGGAAATATATTTTTATAAAATTTTACGAGTTTTCGATAATTTGTTGTGTAATTCTGAAGGCTTTTTAATGTAAATTGGTAAATACCACGAATGCTCCAGTTTAAACTATCACTTGGTTAAAAATAATGCCAAAAGTACTGTGAAAATTATCCAAACAAGTGAATGAGATGTAAAATATTTTTTCTGAATTACGTTACAGATTTACTTGCCAATAACAATAATGAAAAATTGTACATACATATATTTTATAACAGTTCCCTAACTGTTCGTCGGATAAAATATATTTCTCACTCAAGCCAATTTTTTGAAAATTTCACCTTTTCCGTTAGTATATACAACCGAATAACCGATTTATTTCCATCCATATACCCTTTGGGGATACTAATTATTCATGGTGCTGTTTGTAGTGCGGTAAAGTTGTACAAATAAAAATTAAAAAAAAGTTTTTTAAAATGAAGAAATAAAGAAGCTTATACTGTATACAAGCGTTAAACTTTTTTTTCGCAATCATTCATAGTGAAGAAAAAAAAAAAGTAACTAATGTACATGCAAAAAACGCGCAATGAAGTAACGCAGATTCGAAGAAAAAAAAAGAATATAAACACATGATGTACATGACGCAAATTGTCATTTGTACAGATCCTACAATGTTAATTTAAATTTTGTATGTACTATTAAGTATTACTGAGATTCTCAAAAAGCTAAAAATCTTCCAACACTGGCAGCTACATAGCATTGAAAAAAAAGGGGGTGAGATACGTGTATTACAGTGGCATTCAGGTTTTTCGTTTAACGCTTAAATACCTGTGTTACGGAGCTGTTAAAGGTTGCAAAGTTGCAACAAGTCCTGCGCAGAGGGTAATGTTTGTCTCTATACTAAAAAAAAAAAAAAACTGTGTATAAAACAGAAATGATACAATAAACGTGGAAAAAGGAAGAAAAATAAACCTGAGTGCATCTTTATTTTAACAGCTCATCAACGTACCCCCATAATCGATCGAAAAAATCATAGATTCACCATCAAAAATAATCTCATACGTATGTATTGTGTACATTAAAATTGTTTTGAAGCAGCAGTTGCTACGGAAACGAAACGTTTCGGCTGTACGAACGTGCAGCACAACCAACAGTTAGGAAAAACAGAACTGTGTTTCCACGCTGTTGAATGAAACAACGTCGGAAAAGATGAGGTTCAAAATATCCCAAAAGGGCCCAAATTGCCACAGAAAAATGGTCACCTGCGTCACCTGGAGCGCATCCGATGAAATTTTCTCCTGCGGGTCAGTACTCACCAATTTCTATAAAAGGAAAAGAAAAAAAATCTCGCCAACATTGACACCTTTGACAAGCATAGCGACGACCACCAGCTGATCTGCTGGAAGTTCGAGGGTGGAGTCGTGAGCGCCAAAGTGATCGCCGAGTTCCCCGACGACTTTTACCCCACGGGCATGCAGTGGCACCCCCGGCCGAGCCAACCGACCAGCTCGGGAGCCCTGAAAAAGCAATCGATGGACGTGCTGCTCATCACCACGGACGACGGCAAGTTTCACCTGGTCAACCGTACCGGGAGGATCGAGAAAACCGTGGCGGCCCACTCGGGTGCCACCCTAGCCGGCAAGTGGAGCTACGACGGGACTGCTCTGTACACAGGTACTCCTACCGTCCCTCCTTTACAAACCCAAAACTCGAAAATCATGTCCCAACACTCGCGCAGCTGGCGAGGACGGCCAAGTGAAGGTGTGGTCGCGCAGCGGCATGCTACGTTCCACCGTAATCCGGGACACCGAGCCCGTCCACGCGTCAGCCTGGAGTCCCGACAACTCGGCCATCCTGTACTCCCAGGGACCCTTTTTGCTCATCCAATCGCTCACCACCAGCTCAAAGCCCCACAAGGTAAGAAGAAGCCATACAATAGGTATAGGTGTATTCCCTGTCCAGAAGAGCGTGTATCCACCGACTCGTTCCTTTTTCGCCAGTGGCACGCCCACGAGGGCCTGGTGCTCGTCGCCTGCTGGAACCAGTTCCACGGACTCATCGTATCCGGCGGCGAGGACTGCCGGCACAAGGTAACGCAACCCCATATACTCCATTCGACCCCGTGCACGGTGCCCACAAACGAGCATAAAATATACATTATAATGCTACGATGCAGGTGTGGGACCCGAGTGGCAACCTCGTGTACGCGAGCGCGGTCGGCGAGCAGCCCGTCACCTCGGTCAGCTGGTGTTTCTCAGGCGGCTGCTTCGCCGTCGGTTCCTTCGACACCCTCAAACTCTGCGACAAGACCGGCGTAAGGATATTCACCCTTGCTCTGCTCTATTCCGTGGCCTCTGTAACTCATCGTTTGTTGGTCGTTGTTTTGCATGCGTAGTGGTCTCACTCCCTGGAGAAGGTCCGGTCGGGCAGCGTGTACGACATTGGCTGGTCGAGCGATGGTACCCAGGTGGCGCTCGCCTGCAGCAACGGGGCCGTCCTCGTTGCCCACACGATCGAAAAGTAAGGATTCACCTGTCGCTCCCTCTCTACTCCATAATAATGTGGTTCCGGCTAATGTGGCAGGAAAGTCGAGTACAACCGGTACGAGGCGAGCCTGGTGAAGAGGAAGGCCGTGCGCGTTGTTGAGCTGGGCAGCGAGGTCAGCGAGGTCCTCGAGATCGCCGACCGGGTGATACAGCTCGAGTTTGGCTTCGAGCACCTGGTCGTGGTCACGCCGAGCCAGTGCCACGTGTACTCGGTGGCCAACTGGAACACCCCTGCCATCTTCGAGCTGAAGAACGGCTCGGTCTCGGCGGTCCTCATGGCCGAAAAGTAAGATACCCCTCGCCCAAACCGACCGACCGACCGTACTCTTCTGTGTGCTTGTGTGGCTTTTATAGGCACTTTCTGCTGGTCGAGTGGAGCTTGCTGTCGCTGTACAGCTACCAGGGTAGGTCCCTGGGCGTGCCAAAGTGGAAGGGTATGACCTCCGAGCCTCTGTACCCGCCTTGCACGTCCCTCTGCTCGGACACCCTCGTCGTTCGCGACCAGAGCAACCGCAAACGTAATTTTATCGTAATAGCGTCCATTGTCATTGTACGCGTGTACACGTGCTTGATCGAGTTGTCCTTTTAGTTGTCCACGTCTTGGAAATATCTACGAAGAAGCCCATCACCGAGGCTCAGTCGTACACCCACGTGCAAGACGTCACGGTGCTGGCTTTGAACTACATTGGCGGCCCGAATGACCGGCAGCTTGCTCTGATCGACGCAAACAGGGACCTGTTTTTGGTGTCCATCAGATCGTCGGGATTCGGACGCGTTTGCAAAATAGGTGGGTTCATCCGCACTTTGCGTATTTTACGGTGACTGCAAAAACCCTGGTAGGAAAAGACAACTAAACTCAAAAATTCTCCCTCAGCTGGCATGGGCCACAACATTGCCTGGGCCATTGACGCCAACGTCCTGGCTGGTATGCTGGACTCGACCCTGTCGGTTTGGCTATGTCCGAATTGCGTGCACTACAGCGACCGTAAGATCATTCGGAAAACTCGGATCGACAAGGACAGCAGGTAAAGTATTATTGGGGTTGAAAAAAAAAAAAAAAGGGGGGGAGCTGTTCGTAATCATTCGTTTGTTTCAGCGAGTACGGCAAGCATCCGTCGATCGTCAGAGTGGAGAGCGGCAGAGTGACGGTGAGACGAGGCGACGGGGCCCTTGTAGTCTCGTCGTTCTACACGTTCTTCATCAACTTGCACAGGCACGTGCTGAACGGCAAGTGGGAAGAGGCCGTGTCGCTCTGTAGGGTTGTCCAGGTGAGGCGTGCCCGTCAAACGTGTTGAAATCTGACAAATTTCTTCACTCCAATCATTACCGTGCTAATTTAAAAGGGTGTATAATTTTGGAAATAGTAGTTATCGTATTTGGTGACGCGTCTCCTCCAGGACAACCACCAGCCTCTGGCACTTTTCCTGGTTGGATGCGCACCAGGTGCGAATGCTATATTTTTCCTAACAAGGGTGAAGTTAAACTTTTTATCGGTAATCGTTAACTTGCAGAACGAAACCTTGTGGACGTGCATGGCGGTGATGGCGATCGACAGCAAACAGCTCGACATCGCCGAGGAAGCTTGCGCGGCCATCGGCAGGTACGACAAGGTGGACTACATCAAACACATAAAGGTATAAACGCGTTTGAAATCGTTTGAAATCGTTATATTTACAATAGACGCGCAAGATGTGTAAAAGTGAGCCCTCTGGGAGTTTTTTTCGTACACACCGTATTCACATTTAAATGTACAAACTCCACTTTAATCACGTTGTTCTTTCCCACGCGAGCGCAGAAGATAACCGACGAAATCGGCAAGCTCAGCGAGACGTACGCCCTAATGGGCGACCTGCAGAGCGCCGAGGGCCTATTGCTCCAGAACGGCCGCATCCCCGAGGCCATCGAAATGAACGTGGCGACGTACCGCTGGAGCCGAGCGCTGGAGCTGGCGATAAAGCACAAGAGGATGCTCGAGGAGGTACTCGACGAGCGCAAGCGGTACCTCGGGGTTCTCGGGAAGCCGGAGACCAGCGCGGATTTCCGGGCGGCGCTGCACGGCGGCAGCAAAGAGGCCAAAAAGGTTGGAAATTGGGAAATAATCGGCAAAGGAGGTTTTACTACCCTTTTTTTTTTTTTTTTTTTTTTTTTTTTTGCAGGAGGCGCGAGAAAAAGAACGGGAGGCCAGAGAGAGGGAAAAGGAAGAGAAAAGAATCGCGCTGGAGGAGCAGAAGAAAAAGGAGGAGGAAGAGAGGAGAGAACAGGCCGTGGAGAAGTTGGAAGAGGTGGCCGCGAAGGGGTTGGACGACGCGCAGGAAGTAGGAAGAAGCGAAGAAGTGGCGAGGGTGCTGGAGGGCAAAGGGGAGGAGGAGAGGGAAGTTGGCAGCGAGCCGAGGAAGCACGAGGGGATCAGGCGAGAAAGAGGTAAGAGCGAGGAGAAGGAAGTCAGGGCCAAGGAGAGGAAGGTGCGAGAGAGGAAGGCTAGGGATGGCGAGAAGGGTGAGGATAGCCACCCGGTGAAAGTAGAAGAGAAGAAGGACGAAGAGCGTAAGAAGGCGAGGAGGAAGGTGGAGGTCAAGGAGGAAAGGGAGCGCAAGAGGGAGAGGCCGAGGGAGGAGAGGCTGAAGGAGAAAAAGGACGAGGCTGCCGCCAAGGAGCGGAGAAAAGAGCTGAGGGAGAAAAAGGAAAGGAGCGAGCGGCGAGCCGTGGATGGACGGGCGAAGGAAAAAGTCAGAAGGCAGGCTTCGAACGACCGAACTACCAGTCGGAAGTCAACTACTCCTAATTGAGCGTATAGCGCGAGTCGGTTCAGCGTATGTCTATAATTTTTGTAAATAATATGGTACACCTACCGTGTGAAACACTTGTTATTCGATGTGATTTAATTATATTTCAATGTACTTGATCATCGTATGGGAGCAAAGTATGCATTCCTGACTCTTGACAAACATGAGGGGTTTTTAAGTTCAACTAGGCAGATCCGGTACCCTTTGCCCAATTATTGTTACAATATTTTTTAATGGTACATACTGACAGACTAGTCAATTGTTTTTTTTTTCCATTTCGTTTGGTTCGTTGTAGTTTATCTTGCTAAAAAAATATACTGTGCACAATGTCCTAAATCTATACATTTTACTTAATGTCCCAACCAAGGATAATTTTATTACATTTTGTTGAAAAAAAAAAAAAAAAAAAAACGATTTTAGTAATGATTAAAAAATGGATTGAAAAGGTAAAGTGTAAATGTTAATATTTGTACATATATAAAATTGTTTCAATAAACATGTATATACTTAAATACGCATTTTATTTCTGAAAAATGAAAATAAAAAAAAAGTAATTACACTTAACAAAAATTTTTTTCAACACTTACATTGTTTTATTCGTAACTTTATACACTATGTACAATAAATAATGACATTTGATAAATGTAGAAAAAGGACTCATCACAGTAAATATAACCTGATAGCGACCGAGATTATGCCCACGAACAATGTTGTAGCGGCTATGAATAATACCATCGTGTTGATTTGCCATTCCATTTGATTCGTCGTCGCTGGTCTATATCGCATTGCAAAGGCACTCTGTAATCATGAAAAATAACAATTAGAAAAGTATTATGTACAGACACTGAGGTACTCGATGGACTATTTATCGATAAGGAATACTATTGCACTTGGATTTTCAACAGTAAAAAATGGCACCATTTCACGTGTTACGCAAAAAGGACTGTACTCTGGTTTTTTTACTTGAAACATGCGTTACCTTGGAGATGTTAAAATTCCCAAAAACTTTCAGACGTTACCCTTTTTGCGCCACAATGAAAATGGCCCCATGTACCAATCGAACGTCCGCGTGTTTTTATTCAAAACAAAAACCAACCCATCCACCGTTGGCCTGAATCCAAGCAGCCAAATCGTCCTGTAGCACCACAGTCATGGCCCTCTGAATAACAGGTAGAAAGTCCCTCTTGCCCTGCCTGACGCAATCGACGGCCATTCCTCCGGCCACCGCGTACAAAGCCACGACCTTCGACCAGGTGCACTCGCCACTTCTGAGGACCTCGCGCGCCACGTCCGTCAACGCCTCGACGATCCTTTGCTCCGTGTCGAAGCTGCCACAACCGATCTGCCTGCCGATCTTCTCGAACAAGTGCGGCTGGAGCTTTTCGAGCTCGGCGCCCACGGCCGACAGGTCGTGCTGCACCTCGTTCACCAGGGCCATGTCGCTGCCCAGGAGTTTGGCGCTGCCCATGCGCTTCAGGCCGGATTTACGCTGGAATATGCCCGACCGCTTCAACCGATGCCGTATGTACTGGGCACACAGCTGAGAGCCCTGGGGACACGCGTTAATGTTGCCACTGTCATTTTTATCATTCCGGAACTATTGTAGGTGCTCAAAGGCACAGAGTTTTTTCATTCCAATTTTATTTTTCGAAGATCAGAATAAGCTCGGGGTTCTGTATGATTCAACGGCACATCATTAGAGAATTTCAAGTTTCAAGAACTTTTTTCATTCATTCGCAGTTTCTTCAAAATACGTTGTGCGTCTGTATATTTTGTCGATCGCACAACTTTTTACGGTCAGTCGAAATATGCTCTACCAAACTGTCGATTGAACAAAGTACGTATACGTTTGAAATTATTAAAATCTCTATATAGGCTTAACCGAAAGCATGGCAAATAATAATCATAACAATAGTACTTGGCATCGCGTTCAAACCAACGCTAATCCGAGTACCTCGACTCCGGCTTCCGTGTGCACATATACCTGTACAAAAGGCCCAGCTGTCTCCAAGCCGTTGTTTGTTTACCTTTAGAGATTCGAATCGTTTGATTTCAAAATCACTTCGACCGTTAAGTATCCACACATGCTTACAAACATTCTCGAACGAAGATTTTCCGCACTTACACAAACAGGACACACCACGCAAACTCCAAAGTGTGAAATAAGTAAACAGACGAGAGCCCAGCTCGGAGCTCATTCGACCGCGGGACGCCAGCGGAGCTGTATACGCGACCTGTACATATACAAAAAAAAAAAAAAAAAAAAAAAAAAAAAAGAAAAACAAACAAAAACAAAAAACAAAAAAAAACACACATCGAGGATGGACGAGTTGACGCGCACCGGATTCGTACAGGTATTTTGTTCATTTGTAAAAAATTACCATCGAAAATCAAAATTCGCGACGAGCGATTAACCCAATTGTATTTGAACCCCGAGTTTCCTCCCCAGCAACATCAACTCTACCAGCAGCAGCAAAACATCGAGCTGGAAAAGATAATGCAAGCGATGATAGACGCGTTTTTGGCCCAGCAACTGGCAGCGCGACAAGCGACCGGCAACAACAACCTGACACCGGTTGCTCCGACTTCGCCGATATCCCCTGGCGCAATACAACCACCAACGACCAGCTCGACCGCCCGCGCCCTACGCATACTCATGGACCACAACAACAACTACAAGGCCAGCAACGCCGCGGCCCCGTGTCCTTGCGGCAGCAGCGGCTCGTGCTTTTTTCACCGCGAGAGCAACGAGAGCCGCGAAGCCCTCAACATCTACAACAACGTTGCCAGAGCGGCCTACCTCGAGGAGTACGCGGGCGCCCACAACAAACCAGCCCTGGTTCTCCAACAGCACATGAGCCGCGCCGGGGTTTGCTTGCCAGTGGATGGACTCAGGCCTTTTTGCCAGTGCAACTACAGGAGGGTCTGGCTACCCCGTGACGTAAAGTCCTACCAGGTACCACGATATGTGTTGACAATACATATAATTATGTATACAGAGACGGGACGCAATGTAATGTATACGATGACACGCATGAAATAGGTGGACGAGCGGTGCGAGCGCTACTTCAACTGCATGAGCATGACGTACGAGCTGAGAAAGTACTACGAGCACCGGTTCAACGCCCTCGGCCAGCCGAACATGTTCAAGCTGAACATCTTCATAGACGACAAAGGCAACCTGTACGGGCTCGTCGAGAGGAACAACGCGCTGCCGTTGCGCGGCTTGGAGCTCAAGTTCCATTTGATCATTCGGAACACGGACAGCAACGAGTTTATATCGCACGAGGGACTGGTGAGGCCTTTCATTCTATTACATTTCAATACGAATTCGAGGGTTTTTTTTTTTTTTTTTTTTTTTTTTTCTTTTTTTTTGAATGACGATAGGTTTGAACCGTTTTTCTTGCAGGCACTGCCCGCGACCGAAAAGCAGTACCACTTTGCGTTTCGCGTCGAACGGCCGCTGTTCGATTCCTACTTTGTCGAGCGCAAGCTCATCCGAGGGAAGTTGATATCCTGCAGTCTGATCGTCGAGCGGTTTACCGCGCACTTTGCGCCGTACTGTCCGAGCAAGAGGTACTTCAAGTGAGACATCGATGATCACACGTATTTTCTTTTCTTCGCGCGCCTACATCATACTTTTTTTTTATTCAACGGCTCAATTTACTCGTTTTTTTATTAATTTATGGATTGTAGGTATAATATTACCGTGTACGATCATGATGATGCGTGAAGTGCGAGAAGACGAGCATGGAATTAACACTTTTTCTTTTATTCATGTTTTAACGGGATGATTAAGTCGTTCGATGTACAGACGTTTGGGAGTGTGGTGTTTATGTTACTGTGAAACTTAATTCGGGGAATCGAAAATTACCGTCGCTTGTACGCTCCGATGTGTGATTATTATATATATGTATATGATCATGTAAAGCCCTTGTTGTTTGAAAAACGGGCGAGTTCAACTAGAAAAAGAAAAAAACAAAAAAAAAAAAAACAAAAGAAACACGGTTCTCCCCAAACGAGAGAAAATTAGTTCGACGGTCGCGTGCGCGGTAGCAGTAAATGACTTGCGT